TAAGAGGTTTACCACTAAGTCATTATCTCCCTTTCTGATCCAATTAGTCCTTGACAGAATAAAAGATTCGACAGTCTTCAAAACAAATGGAGTCAATCTTTGTGGGCCTTTACTTCTGAGACCAAAGGGTAAAGCTCGGATCGTCTTGTTCACCTGCACTGTATACCAGGCAATTCACCCGCAGCCTATCACCTCTCTGAGTACTGAAATGTTTCTACAGGCTCTGAGACGGTTCATTGCCCGACAAGATCGTCCTGCGACAGTGTATTCAGATAACGGAACCAATTTTACCAGAGCAAACAATGCTCTGAGATGTCTGGATTGGAGAAAAATTGCAGAAAACGAGTGTTTTCTAATAAAATGGAAATTCATCCCCCCTACAGCTGCATGGTGGGGAAATGGCGGAAGCGCTTAGTTTGTTCCACCAAGACTCTTCTCGTGCGAATTCTAGGGAGATCATCGGTGAATTTCGAGAAGCTATTGACTGTCCTGTGTGATGTTGAATCCACATTAAACAGCCATCCTTTAATGTACATCTATGATGATTCGGAAGAGCTCGTACCTCTGACACCTTCCCTGTTTTTGCAAGATATAAAACAAGTGGGGGGTACCAGATCTGGATTACATCGATTCCCAGAAACTGAATGTGCGTGCAAATTACTGCAATACGTTGAGACAAGAACTGAGAAGTCACTTCCACAAGGAATATCTGGCTCAAATGGTGCAGAAAAATAGCGTTTCATGTCAAAACTTAAAGGTGGGAGACGTTGCCCTCATATAACTAGACAATAAAAAACATGTAATGTGGCCAATGGGCAGAATTTTAAAAATATTCAATAGCAGAGATGGGGCTACAACAGTGGTACAGGTACAAGCAGTGGATATTCGGTAAGACCAATAAAAAAACTGTATCCACTAGAAGTTTCAACTGCCAGTGATCCTGTGCTAACTCTGGCAACTGAAAACAGATCTAGATACGGTAGACTCTTAAAACCAAGGACATACTCTTAGACGTTTTGGAATTGTATCCTTTTTGTTTAGCAATGACTGTAATTAGAAGGTATTCTTTATTAATCTTATTTTAGTATTATCTATCATATATATTGTATGTTAACGGAGTTTCTTTTATGTTTTTTCCAAAACTAATGCATTAGTATTGTTTTGTTTCATTCGTAATGTTAGAAAATGTTAAATAATGTCCGATTTTGAGAAAATCAGGGTGGGAGGAAGTTGTACCTCCCACATACAGCAAGGATAAGTCTGGCAACAGCTGCAGGAAGAAAACTTCTGCAGCATTTGAATGACAACAGCTGATGATATTCTATACATTTTAATTGACTGAAATTTTTTCCTTTTTTGTGAGACTATGGCATCACAATTTTGAGTTTGGGTGAATGAAATGGAACCCGCTGCAGATATGAGTAAAATATGTTTAGAAAATTAGCTGCGTTGAGAAGGATAAAATCCTTAGGTTTGAGTTTGCGGTATTTTACCTCCTAAAGTTGTATCAAGTTCAGTAACTGATGCAGGGCTTATTCTCGTTGCGCAGATAAGTTCAAATTTTGTTATTGTGTTTATAGTATATAACTAGCAAATACATTTTCAAGTTCTGGAATGGTGTTTTAAAATTTTAGATGCAGAGAAGTCACATAGCTATGTCTGAGCCAGTGGTAGTCAGGTGAAGTAAAACTGTTTTGCTCACGACATAACACACTTTCTTACTGCAGCAATCCTGGACAATCTAATGCACAATGTCAAGAACTGCCGTAAAGCTTGATTTCAATCAGGGGTTACCACATGTTTTATTTTTTCAATGCATCTCGAAAAAGTTGTAATACCATCTTTTCCCTATCCCACTTTATATCGCATTTCCCACTTCTACACTCACTTCCAAAAGGTGTAACGTGTACACGAGCCAGTTTCCCTTAGAAAGTCCTCCACGAATGCATCCCTCCCCTTAGGCAGATAGCCCTAGTGTGATTTGCCATAATTAAATACACACACACTTCCAAAAGTTAAGCACGGAGAGGGAAATGCTAATTTCCAGAAGCCAATCGGAATTGAAGAGGATGCAATTCGCTGCAGAGGTAGATGGAAGTATGCAAATATGTTAAGTAACAGCTAATTGCGCTTTCATGTCAAGAAATATGCAAAAAAGGCAGTCTTATAAGAAGCCAGCTTTGTGAAGGGTTACAGAAGTTGATTGTAAATGCTGATAGAAGGTGTTTAAAACTTTTGTACAATTTGTTTTCAAGACATACATGTTTCTATGACATCAAGAAGACGAATGGATGATTCTGAGCACTGCCGTGCTGTGGGGCGCATTGAAGCAGGACAGTCAATCACAGATGTTGCTCTTTTGCTTAATTCTGCGGTGGTAGGCTACCTAATTGAAAGCATGGTCACAAGGTGTAAACTTTGTATACAGATGAGGGGGGATCACACACCCCCTATTAATGTCCCTTTTTTTCATTTTATGCTGTTTATTTTCACTTTATACATAATTCTGTTTAAGTCTCCAGTATGTCATTATCTGATAACTTACAAAAATTTAATATTGTTTTCATTTCTGTATATAATTATTGATTTTATTTTATGCATAAATACATATGCTAGTTTCCTGCCGAATTTGGTGTCAATCAAAGCAGTATTTGTTGATTTTTTTTGCATTTTACATCTCCGTGCTTAACTTTTGGAAGTGAGTGTAATTTGCTTGCCCAGGAATAGCCAGTTCCCCCATCAGGCATTATAAGTTAAACATATTATGCAAGTTCAATGTTCTTAGCTTGAAATCATACATATTATACGAGTTTTTAAAACTATTCCTTTAATTTTTTATGCCAGTGTATTTTAACCGCTCATAGTTTTTCAATCTCGCAAGGGGCATTAGATTTTGGAACATAAATCTAAAATATAACTAACACAATATTTAAAAATAGGAACACTATAAGTATGACTTAAAATGTGTATGTGTATTTAATTATGGCAAAGCACACTAGGGCTATCTGCCTAAGGGGTGGGATGCCTTCATGGAGAACTTTCTAAGGGAAACTGGCTCGTATACACGTTACACATGGGGAAAACCACGAAAACACCCATGCAGCCAGTCCGTTCGCGGGATTCGAACCTCGGACCGAACTACCAGTGTTCAGCGACTTTACCGCTCGGCCGCTGGTGGGCAGTATGACTTAAAAAGAGCAACACATTGTGTAATATTATTTAATGAAACAGCACAAAATTTAATTTACAGCACAACAGAATTTATAATATTGATATATTTATTTGTAATATTATTGATTTGTAATACTGAATAATTTATAATATTGATATATGAAATAAAGCTAATTTTCAGTTAACAGGGCATTCATTATAAAATTTTGCACCAAAAGTAGTCTATTAGCCTGTTTATTACATCTTGTAAGTAACTATGCAGTAATGCCATTATGAATACTGTTACAGTAGCATTTCTTTAACATTTTCAGCTGCCTTTTTAGCTGCCAGAAAATAAAGTACTGTAATAATTACTGATAAAAATTAAAATATTCAGAAAGTTTAAATTTGGCAATGATCAGGAAACAAATCAGTTTGACTAATCCCGAAAAGCAATGTAATAAGTTGCAGCTAGTCTTGCCTACATTTCCCATATTACTCGATTCCGTATGCATCATGCGTAACCATTTCCTTCCTTTTATGTCACACCATATCTATCATATGCAGTATCACACCAATCATGAAGCATTGTTTATATAAAAATGGATAAATAATTAAGAAGTAGTTCTTTACACCTACTCATCACAAATAGTTTAGATTTGGCATCAGTTTGGGAAGTCATCCATTTCAAATGAGCTTGAAAATTCACAATGATGAATGTCTTCAAGGACTTACACAACTATCTGATATTTTTTTTCAAAATTAAATAAACTGAGGATTACTGAACAGTTCCACAGCTGCTTTCAAAGCACCTGGCAAAATTGTTTCTAGGTTCAATATCTCAAAAAGTTAAGATTTCTTTGAATCATTCATTAAAAAAACTGAAAACAAAATATTTGAGACTCTACAAATTCTTGTCAAAAAATTAATTAAAAATTTATTAAATTTACAAAGAAAGACAGCATAAGAACCCACTAGCCTCCAAGGATCATTCAAATATTAGTTGCCAAAACAAAATGAGAAGGATAACTAAATTTCAGATCCTATAGATAAAAATTCCTTTAAAACAGCTTCAAAATTAATATTCTCTGAAAAAGAACAACTTATACTTTTCTGACTTTATTCATTGCAGTTTATTAATTTTATGGTATTAAAATAAAAGCATTGTAAGAAATATTACGAGAATATTGAAGGAGTGTCAGAAGGTTATAGGTTCTTAAGGAAGAGTTTAGGGCTTTAATTACAGTCTGTTTCAGTACACAAAATAACATATGTCTTATTAAGGGATATGTGACAGAAAAAAGGCTGGTTATAGCTAATCTACACAGAAAGACTGTTCAGATGACTTCAGAATAAAACTGTATATACTACTACCCGAAAGCCGAAATGGCAATACAATCAAAAAACTTGTCATAAGGAGAAAAGTTTAGATAACAGATGGCGATCATGCATCTTTTTTCTGACAGCTATTCAATTTGTTTATTTGTGGCAAAATTTTATGTTGGCAGAAACCTGTCAACTGCAACTAGGAATGAATCGCTGCACTTTTTTTCAATTAGAACAATCACCTGTATGCTTATTTGTGAGGTGTTCTGTGTGTTTTAAATATAATAAAATAGATATTCTTTTTGTGAAACACAACATGTCATTAAGATTGCCATTAATATCTTTAATTACACTTTCGTACAAATATTTACATTTGGTGTCAAGTAGTGCCCTGTTAACTGAAGAGCATCAAAATTTAAAATCTTTCTTGACACCAAAAATTAGTACTCAATAACTAACTTCTGAAACACATTTAATAGATATAATAATAAAAGAGCTGTGGAAGAAAATTTCACTAGCCTCACCCTCAGCTGAAAACCGTTTAGTAACTTCATCTTCAATGATTGCCTAGGATAAGAAATAATAAAATGTTACTGCAATACAAAATGAATCTTTAAAAAAAAAAATAATAATAATAATTAAAAAAACACAAAATTTGCTAAAAAATTTAGAACTTTTTTCTATTCTTTTTTAAATGTTAAAACAGTTAGATGATACTAAATTATACAAACTGCTTTTTCATGTTTTATCATACATGTGACTATAAAACAGGTGAATGCAAAACCGGACAGCCTTTTATGACACATCGGGTATCATCTGGTACCCACAATTGTCTAGTATGTGACTGTAAAAGGCCAAACTTCTTTTCATCAAAAGGGAAAATTAATAATCGCATTATCTTAGCACCTGTAATTAACATAAGTCATTGAATCAGGAGTGAAATGTATTTAGCCTTTTTATATTTAAATTTATTTTTAAAACCGTTTCACATAAGCTTGGAATTAATAAATCACAGAAATATTTGGACTGTTTTATGTATATCTAAAACAGGTGCAATAATATGCAAAATACATAGCATGGCTTTAGCATAAAAATAGTTAATATTATTTACGCTTTCCTCCTGAATTTATCTTCATTCAACTTTCCCTTTAGATAAATATAATGATGCTAAAATCTACAAAACTCTAAAATCTGCAAAATTTTATGTACCGCTGCAGGTTAGAAAGACAAAATTCAGTCTGACAAGGAAAACAAAAAATTTTTAACTATAACACAGATTTAAGAAAAAAATCCTTACGGCATAAATATACAAGGGAAAAAAATTTTTTTAAGTACTTCCAAGAACTTATCTAGCAAAAAACAGCACCTCTACTCAAATTAACTATTCCCTGTGAATAAGAAGTGGTTTTGCAATCCATAAGCTTCAGGAAAAGTTTCCATTTCTGGCAGCATTTCGCAGTTCCATGATATCTGCTTAAAAGATTTCAAACCCCATGCACATGCTGCACATTTAACTTTAGACATGCAGTGTTATAAGCCTAGTGGTACTATATAACAATTAAAGTAAAAACCTACAGGCTATACAATCTTGTAATATAATAATGATCTCCAATTTCCTATCCATACAGTTCTTATTACTTTTCAGATGTTAAAATAGCAGTCTGAAACCTGATAAACAGTACATAAAGATAAAATGATAATGTGGTCATTTTATGGGTTAAACATGATATTTATCTGGTATGCTAACTGGCCACTAATGGTTTGGGGCACAATTTATTTTATACAAAACAAGAATAACAGTTCTTCACAAAACTCTAAACGCAAGCCCTGGTGTTATGAGATTCACATATTCAGCCACAAATCATACAGTAGTATCCTTATATCTATGGGTAATTTGTTCTGAACATAAACAAAAATAATAGCGAAGGCTAGCTAAAACAAGATATTTGTACAAATATCCTGTTTCACAATATTATTCACTGTGAATTATACACTACGAATTTATATATGTCATATACTGTGAATTATACACTACGAATTTATATATGTCATATACTGTGAATTATGAACTGCGAGTTCATATATGTTATTTGCATAAATATCTATAAATCTGATAAATGATGAATCCAGCACTAACATCAGTATTAATAAGTAATAATAAAACATACAGTTTATTACAATACTTCATAGTAGTGTTAATAAAGTACTGCAAAATGCAGTCCACATAACAGCAAACTTTCTCTTACTCATGTGCATTAAATAAAGAAGTCAGAAAACTTAAATTGATCCATAAAAGATGAGCCAAAAATTAAGGTATAGTTCCTGTAAGTCTATTATAATAAACTGTTTCAAAAGATGGTAGGGGAAAAAAATTACCCCCCCCAACATAGTAGTAAAAAAACTTCTTATGGCTGCAGATTTTTATAATGAAAATTATGTGTACATAGCTGTACATAACAAATAATGAGGAAATTTCACTTTTGAAAAAAGAATTTCAGCAACTTCTATAGTTATGTGATTGTGAGAACACAATTTTCTCACTGATGGATTTTTAACCGTCATCCATGTAATTGTAAGTTGAATTGTCATCGAATACCTGCACGCAAGAATAAATTCTCGCAGAACTGGTTTTTCTTCCTCTTTCTGATGAAGCTGCCAAACCAGAGAGTGGATTTCAGCCCTCACTCTTCCCATAATGGAATTCGAGAAGGTACGAGGAGTTGAGGCTTAATAAAAAAGCACAAGCTGCAGAAAACGAGAAAGGAATTAAGTCTGCATGCTCTTAAAAGTTTTCGGAGTGGTAATCTTCTACAACATATGTGTATTTCATCATAGTTTTATATTTCTGCAATTTTTTTGCATTCCCTCATCGTAATTGAAACACGAGATGCGTATTCTACAAAAAGTGTGATGTAGCTGAAAGAGACCTAATGCTTGAACTGATTACCGATGTGAATTCCATCCAGACAAATCTATTTTGCAGAAGATAAGAGATACATTGTGAGTAGCTCGACAGCTCGAATGCAAGCGAAAATTAATTAATGTTTACAAACAGAAATAGGTAATGATGTGGACAGATTATATCTGAAAGTAATTGGATGCACGTGCTGCATGTGTAAACTGTGATTGTAGAGATAATGTTTTTATATTTCATATTTAATAGATCAAGCTTTTATTCATTCATGAATGATAAAATAAATTAAGGCGATGCAATTAAGCGTGTATTTATTGAAAAGGCACTATACATATTCTAGCACGTGAAATATTTTATTTATATCTCTTTCTAGGGTTATTAAAGCAACATACTAAATTTCAGTGTAAGCCAGTAATTATTGGGCACATGTGACATTCTTTTTGACCCCCACAGCGTGTCTTATTTAGTAGCATTTACAGACCATCACAGTGATGATAGCACTATATGCACAATGAGGAAAGAAGACAATGTTGTACATATCATGATGATAGCATGCTTGTGTTAAATTGAGAAAACAAGATTAGAATCTTCCGGATCATCATCTTTTGAAGCTGAAGAAAAACCAAAAATTTAAGGCTTTCCCCCCTTTTTTTAGCATTTTGTCCCTCTTCTGCCATGGTAGGTAACTTCTGCAGTTTTCAGTACAATAGTAAAACTAGCTGTGATAATTTTTTTCTTTATTTCTTCATGGATTGGAGGATTTTCTGCAAAAAGGGGGTAGTTCTATCCTGAGGAGTTCGGAGTTGTATGTACTATCTTGCAGCAGAAACGAAACTCTTTCATTTGATGCAAAAAAGATATAGATCTGATCATTAGTTCTTGTGTTTCTCTAGTTCTTGTGTTTTTCAACTAATAGAGCTGCCCGTCTCGGTAATTTGTTATAACATAGAGTTAGCTCCTGCAGTTACCTCCTTTTCACCTCAAAATGCTCACACGGTTGTTTACAGGAAGGTTACACAAAACATACCAACAGTAGAATGTTTTCGTTCATGTCTTGTGTTTTTGGTTGTTCTAATAAGCATAATACTTAATTTAGAAGTCAAACAACAAAAATCAGCATTATATTTGCAAATTTTCACAGGATTAGTTTCGATGGTTTGTTATCCTTCACAGCTGCCGAGCACAAATGAACGAGATAAGATATAGTGATTAGATAAGATAAGAATGGCTGGACAGGAGTTCAGCTACTGGCGCCATCTATTGATGAAACGAGAACTAAAACATAATTTCCTTAAATGCTGAAGGCAAAGACAGATTGGAATTAGGGTCATTAACTAGAATAGAAAGATCTTTTTGAATGTGAAACTATAACACCAATAGAAGATGTTTTTTGAATAATTTTGGTTGATTAATTAGCTAATTTTATAGCTAATTGACTTCTATAGCTAACTGATTAATTGATTAATTAGCTATAAAATTGCACATACTTTACAGAAATTTAACTTTCGGGTCGCTTATTCTCCTATCAATAAAATTTCGAGTTCCATTCTCAAGGACACCATTCTGGATATGAATTCCTAGCGTATTTACAGGATTCCATGCCAGTTTGGTTTAATTTACATTGGTCATACTAAAAGAGCCTTAAAATTCCACGTTAAGGAACATGGGAGCATATGTTAGAAAAAAGGAAACACAGAAGTCCTTTGTTGCCCAGCATTGTTCGTTCGAAAATCACACTTTCAATTTTTCTGCAGCCAAAATTATTTAGAAAACATCTTCCATTGGTGAATTACACAGGGTTCATAGCCACATTTTAGTTAAAAAAATAAGCACCTATAGGCACTTTTCAAGCACATTTTAAGAAAAAAATAAGCACCTGTCTAATTACATTATACACAACTGCATAACCTTAAAAGAAAAATTAGACTTGCAATTTAAAATATGAGCAATGCAATATTTATTAAGAGAATGAGCATTACCTCAACCATGGAAAACAATTAACTTTTTTTTTTAATTTTAAATGACAGTTGAATTTACAGAATTAGTTTACAATGAGAGAAAAAAACTATGCAGAACTAAACTAAATTACAAGATTTAATGATGAAATTTCAGTTCAAAATATAGAAAATAAATAATAATAAGCCATATTAATTGTATTCGCTTTGGCACCTAATAATAAATACAATTTATTTTTCCACTCATATTAAGATTTAAATAATTTAACTTAAATCAAAATTCTGAACATTTTCTAAATTTTCATTGCATAACAGTTTTCCCTTAACGTATATTCCAAGCAAAGTAATTTAAGTAAAAAAGAGGAACATTTCTGAAATCAGGAGACAGGAAATTGTTTCATGCAGTCATCCTTTAACAGTAAAAGCTTAACTAACCCACATACTCGAAATTGCCGAATATTCCGTACAGTCGAGCGTAACTGGAAAAAGAGGAGGAGGGGAGATTGTAGCAGTTCTAGATCGCTCGGCTGAATAAATGATTTTTGACATTTTGATATGTGCATCATATAAAAATAGACCAACGGAACTGAGAAATATTCTGCTTAGAAAGAACAGTAAAACTCTTTTAAGTGTTCATAAATAAATCTCAGACTGAACATCAAAATTAATTATCTCTGCAAAATACCGCAAACATTATT